GATACCCAAATCCTTGATATTTCTGACATTGTATAGTTGGTTTTGATTCATAGAATTGTTTTACTCTTATACTACTTCCAGCAATATATAATCGCTTTCGAATAACTAATTCTGCTTCTGATTTTATAACAAAAACAATAACAATAGCACCCTTTCATTAATAAACTCTTCTGGAAACGGGTATAAGCCAAAAGGGGGTTCCTATAGACTTGAAGTCTGGATTGAAGGTTTTGATTTTGTCAAATATAAGATCCATTCCTTTTGTACCTGAGAATTCTTTAATTAGGATTTTGTGAATAATGACTTTGTACCATTCTTGATCCTTTTGGATTCTTTCGAATTTGATAATATTACTCCAAATCGCTTTCTTTTTCAATAAGAATTGTAATATAAAGAGATTATTTATTATAATAATGATATTATTATTAAAAAATATAATTACTACTACAATAAATGACCCTTTGATTCCGATCTTTTGAAAGGCTTCATTTATTTTGTTTCGGATAATTAAAGAGGAAAAGGAAATAGGGTTTGGAAAATCTGGCTTGATTAAGATGATTCGTTTTTGAATAAGATTAGATTTCTTTTCTATATTAATAGATATAATATTTTTCCCTTTAGGGACTAAATTCCATTCTCCTTTTTTTGAAATATTAGTATATATTGGTTTCAATATAATAATAGTAATAGTAATAAATGAAAAAGGTTTAGCTAATACTTTTGCTTGTAATTCGATTTTGTGTATAGCAATTTCTAAATAAATGATTTGAGAGGTAATAATATTCGAAGTTATAGTAAGCTTCCCCTTTTCAGTATATTCTCTAAAGATCTTTAGAAGATCTAAAAGCTTAGATTGTTTTTCGCGTAATTAGAAAAAAGAGAAAATTAGTATTATAAGGTTTCTAGCTTTCAAAATAATTTTCTTAAATATATTTGGATTATTTTGGATTCTAGGTTGTTTGTTTTGATTGTTAAGGGGTATTGTAGGGCCTTGTTTCTTATTCTAATTAAATATATAGGTAGTATTAATTGTATTTTGAATAATAAAGGGGTTACTAAATAGATTAAACTCTTTAAATCTTTTTCCAAAACTAACTAACTAATTGATTAATAAAATAAAGCTAGAGATTTCAAATTGAAGGTTTTTAGAAGGCAGGGAAGGGCTTGAAGGTATTGGAGTATTTAGAATAATAATAAAATAAATGTTTGATATAATAAAGACTTCAAAAGGAGCCTCCATCATAATTATATCCCTAAATGTTGATAAATTATTAAAAGAGCTTATATTAAGGATCTTATTTTTATTTTAGTAATTTGGAATGAGAAAATTTTATATGAATTTTTGTATATATTTTATATTCAAAACACCGATAATAATAATACAACAATTACTAGTCAGAATCACTAAAGAGCAATTGCAATCAATTTGGTTTAATAACTATAATCTAAATCGATCGCGAACGGGTTGTATTTCGAAGAAAAAGTTTCCTTCGAAATTTGTTGTGAGTGGGTTGTACTTATTAGAAGCATTTATGCAATTTCGATACAAAAACATCATCAGATTTGAAGAAATATAACTTTAAAATCATATCAATCACCGTGATCTATCTATACACTAGTTGTTTCTATTAGTAGTAAGTTCTAGCCTAGCACAGACAACGGGACAGGAAATAGTCATTTCACTACTGGAAGTCTTTTAACTACTAGGTGTACCCGTAGTCTCTACCCCTACGAAACAATGTCCATCATGTTCAAGTCGCTTGTAAACCCGAATGCCTAGGCTACGCAACGAGCGCTCACAGGGCGGATAATGAGGTTGACAAATAATCTGTAGATAATCAACCAGCAAAACATAGAGTTCAGAATCTGATTAAGTGAACTACATATGATGCTCCCCTTTTCTCTGATTTTGCATTGTAAGGCAACCTTATTTGTCGAAAATTTTATTGCAGAAGAGTGGGAAATAGCCTTCTTTTGAATCTTACTAACAGCTTTTCAACGTGAAGTTCATTGAAGTCCCCCGCTTTGGATAACCTCGTTCGGCGGAGATGCTTGAGTTGACTCACGAATTCAGCAACTCAGTGTTTACCACAACCTCAAGCAGGCTGCTCAGAGATAATTTGAAGCAAGTAAAACTTACCTACATTAAGATCAGATTCTGTAGATGGACTGATTTTTATCTATGACAGGCTATAGAAGATTTTGATATCTAAGTTTTGCTTGCTATATTAGGACCATATAGCTTGTATACATATCTATAAATTCAGAGCAATCACTAGATAGACGTGTGGAACACCGGTGGGTCGCAAGACTTATGAGAATTATATATTCACTCTTGGTTTGATAGTAATATGAATACGATTTGTACGGTTCCTGGTTCCATCTACGGCTTCCAAGGTTATGACTATCCTGTTTCATGCTGCATTTGATACAGTATTGACGACTTCTGGGACTATTTAAGAATGACAGTTACAGCTCCTTTACTCCAAAGGAATTTCATCCGCATTTAAGTCTCAGTCTTTCAAGTCATCACATCCATGGTAAACAAAATGGACTTTATTACTCCATATATTGAGTCGCAGTTATCCTTGACCCAAGATGATCCTGAATGCGCAAGACTATACTGGGCTTCGACATACCTGGATAGAATTAATTTGGACCGACTCGACACCAATCCTGATAATGATTTTTCGTACGATGGAACAATGAAGGCGGCTCGAGGAAGATATCCTCACGTTCTCCCTTTATTTGCTTTGTGGGAATATATTTCCGAAGAATGGGTTCTAGATTCCTGGACCAAGCCAAATGGCGGACAGCAAACCGTTGCCGATGGTAAGTTTTGCTTCCTACATCACTACAAATGGCACGAACTAACTGGAAGCTGTTCTCATAGAATTGAAACAGAAGAAGGAAACACTCTATTCCTCCGTTGTTCGTATAAATACAGCTTATGGCAGGTATCCTGACCATATTCATCCCAGCTCAAGGGGAGTGCATTACACGTCGAAGCATAAACCTTGGGTACATAACTGGCAAGCGAGGGATTCGAAGAGATATGATCATATGAAGAAGTCTAGGGCCTGGTATGACTGGAACTTGCCCCAGAATCACCCACGGCATATTTTAAGCTTTCCAGCAGGTAAGCTTTATTCTTTCTGCCTAGAAATGATCTGTCTTCAAAACAATATCACTAACATTGCGGTAGATATTCTTGACCGGGTTATGGAATTCGTAATGGTAGCTTCAGAGGACACCATTGTACCATTTACAATTACCTCTAGTTTGATGCCATGTCATGGACAGCCTGATTACATGTTGATCCCTTCCCGAAATCACGGCAAGATTCTGATCAAGAATCGTTTATGTAATGCAAGATACGGATTGCATCCGATGTGCTACAACAAGAGAGGGCCTTGTCGCAAATGGGGAAAGAATAACTATCCTGTTCTCGATATTTCCTATTTACAAGTGTGTAAATCGTTTAAATACATTGGATCAAAGTTATTGTACGGACAAAACACTTTGGAGTTTGCCACAGGAAACCTAAATTGTGGTGACAGTCCAGCTGGTTTGATTGCAGAGAGAGGTATAAAGTATTATCCATGGCTCCGTCAGCCAATCTATGATCCAGGGAACACGAGGGGATGGAAACGATCCGTCAACAGGGCTATTTCCTGCATTAAAACCCAATCCAATTTAAAAGAACTTCCAGCATGGGCATGGTGTGACCCATTTGTCAGATTTCTTTTAACAATCGGACCTGATAACTCAACTGAACTTCAAAGATTGAATTTCAGCGGACAAGTCAAATCACATAGTTCGATTAGATATCCTGACTGCCACGAAGATTTGGTTCAGAGTATGCGAATATACACTTACATCATCAATATTTTATGCCCCAAGGTATGGAAAGTCACCCTAGTAGCCTGGGGGGAAGATGACATACTTATTGACGAGAAAGATGGAAAATGTCTTACTGTCTTTGAAAAGTCTCTTACGATGTTCCTGGAGACTGAATTTAGGGATTTAAGGTATGTAAGAGAGGTCGCTGTCTATGGAACAAGTGATATGTCCGAAGCACATGAGGGAAACTGTTCTTATAACAGTTGTCAGGGTAGGATGCATTCATTCTGCGATCCTATCGTCACTGGAAGAGGTACACTTGCTTTTGCAAAGCCAACCATGGACTGGTTTGTCAAACGGGCGAGATTTTTGGATAATTCTTATCAATACTCTATGGGCATTGATTGTATGCGATCAATCTAATCAAAATCAACATACACGGGACATGCCATTCAGGTTTGTTGCATGCGAGTATGACTAAAGGAACAATCGCCATTCGGTAAGCGCAAGTTAAAGAAACACCAGATATATGTAGTTAGGTAGGTAGTCATGCATGGAAGGATTTTGGGGCTCTCTATAGGACAATTGGAAATAAAGTATTACGAAGCCTGAATTTTGTGATCAATGAACTTTGGAATTCCATGAGGCGGTGATCGTATTGAGTGAGAGCATTGCATTGGTAGAGAGCTTTCCTGATTCACAACAAATTCATGGTCAAAAGAATTCTTCGCCCCATCTAATCGATCAACTTTGATATCATCTTCAAGAATTCCATGCATGCATTATCAAATGTTTTGACCTCTCAACAGCTCATAAACACTTGAATTGACTTGGGTACAGATCACAAATGTAAATTACACGTATCTACAATGACATTTGTCATAATTCTTCCAACATCCGATTAATCTTGCTATGTAGACCCGTGATATGTACCGCTTTTGGCAAGTTCGAGAAAATGACGAAATTTGCACATGTTACATGATTATGCAAGTATACCTCACAGGCAGTCAACCACCAACGCCTTATTATTCACAAAATTGGCAGATCCCATTGCATACCCCTGGCCTCCCCATACACCATCCGCAGATATAGGAATTATTCATCACTCCAAATTGCGCCAGATATCGTCCCATCAATCATTAAGAAGGATCACCATCTTAGATATTGGTAGCAGCTAACAACTGCTGTCTCAATCTATCCTCCACATTCATTTCCTGCATTTCCAGATTTTGGTGATGACTTTCGACTTGTTGTGATTCGTCATGTCTGGATTCCTCGACTTGCAATATCTCGGGGCTATTGCTTCCGCTTTTATGATCTTCCATAGGTTCTGGAGTTTGTTGATAAGGACTTCCGTTTCCACTCTCTTGGTTTGAATTCTGCATACCTGCAGCCAATGCCAACACACCATGAAATCTTGCACTTTCTTCATTCCCTGCCAGTCTGGCTCTTTCTTCCGCTTCCTTCCTGGCCGCTTGAGTTGGTGCTCTGGTCTTCAGTTCACCAGTCACACATTGAAGATAGTATGGAACCTCAATATTACTCTTGAGAAAAAATAGTTTAAGGTTTCGCGCTTTGTCTTTCAGTTGAACTTGGTTACGATCGCGCAAAATAGTGCTGACTGATCCTTTATCGCCGTAAAGAGCAAGTATTTGACTCCAATGTGGACCTTTGACCGAATCGAGACCTGCCATCAAGGCATTTTCTTCTTCTGTGCTCCATGGACGACGTTGAGATGGCAGTCCAGGTCTAGCTTTCTGTCCCGGATTATTCTTTGCAGCTGCAGCTTGTCTAGCTTTTTCGTAAAGAGCAGAGGTTGATTCAGATTGAGAATGATGAGGCGTAGTTGTAGATGTAGTAGTATTATATTGAGTTGAGTAAGTGTTAGGTGATTGATTGGGTGGTTGATAGGTAGTTTGATATTGAGATTGACGATAGCCTTTGAATTGAATTAGTCAGGGATTGTAAACGAAGTTGGTACAAGCATACCATTCTGCGGAGTAGTCGATTGTTGATATATGCCTGCATCTTCGGGGACGTTTTGAGTTGTATGCTCAGTATCTGCATTAGTGCCAACGTATGCAAAAGCATTTCCATTCGATGGACCACCATTTGAACCCTGCGAGTATCCAGTCGAAGTGGGGATCGTGAGCCCATATTTAGACATATAAGGTTCTACCAATGGTCTATAAGCATCCATATGAATATGGGTGGATCTTAGAAAAGAGTCCCAGTTGAAGAGATCACTTAGTTCCTCTGCATATTGGTCAGTATGAGAAAAGTAATGCCGGGAATTATCTTACTAATTTTGGCGGGATCATTTCCTTGGTTAATCAAATACACTCTTCTAATATCTAAATCGACGAGTAGTTGTAGCTCATCATCTGTGAGAGGATAGGGATGTCTTTGGGAGAGAAGATTCCGGAACTCTGGTGAAAATATCTCATCTATAAGATCCTCGACAGGTTTGTCTGACTCTTCCATTGATAGCGCTGCAACAATAATTTGTGTCTTCAAGTTCATGAGCAATTGACCCGATGCTTTCGATATGGCCTCTCCTTCCCGAGTCCAGGTGTTGACGAAATGTTCATTGAGTTCATAAAATCCAACCTCTTGTCCACCAAATACGCTGGATACAAAAGTCGCATGATTTGCAAGTCTGATAATCTCTCGTTGAGCTGGGTCGATGATATTGAGTTCGTCGGCAGAGAGAAAGGTTGAAGTTCCATAAATTCTTTTTGTTTTGTCGAAAAGATCGTTCAATGTTTGGAATGAAAGTCCACGAGCGGTATCTCTTTGCGTTACCATGACGACTATCTCATCGTATCCTCCTTCGGAAAGAATGTTTAACATTTGTACAGCCTGAAGGTGAATTAGAGCCATCCATACATTTTCATATTGAAGACAACCATACCAAACATTCCAATGACATTAGACTTATTACCTGCAGAGACAGTTGATGATCGGTCCGGAGTCGTTCGTAGGCAGCACGACTGTTCGGTTGTCGGATTTGAGCATGAGGAGTTTTCGGGGGAGAAAGTGTACTGATGTTGGCGTCATGCGATTGGTCTTGATGGGAGGTATGATCATTCATTTCCATAGTTCCCGCATCTTGGTACTCGGCTGAGACATGAGCAACACCAGAGGCAATGATAGCGTCGATATCGAGATCCCCCAAACCATCATCTACATCATCTGCGGGTGGTATAGCGACAATTTCATTGGCAGAATCGGGGATGGAAAGTTGTGGTTGCGCCGATTCGAATTCAATCCTCTGCCTCTTTTCTGGTGATTCCAACTCTGTCGATGATACTCTTCGTTTCAATGCAGATAATTGAGGAGAAGATAAGAGGTTATGAGAGGTCTCGAGTTTTATCGGAACATCTGCGAAGATCAGTTGTTAGGATGACGAAGTGAAAGGGAAAAATGGGGTTGGCTTGAATGTAGGAGGTTGCCTTTCGACCTTGGTCGTCATCACCTTCATAAACTTACCATCATTAGTAGGAGCCATTGTCAATGAGTTCATAGATGAATCTGCCATGGTCGAAGTCGCATGAAAATTTGGAAGAGGTACCTCTTGTTTTGGATCATGCAAGATTATTTGTATGGGTGCAACAGAGAATTTTCCATTCATACCGTATCTAGATTAAACAAGCGTCATTAACTTATCCGTCATGTGATATTTTAGCCCTGAAAATTGAGACCTAAAACCCAATCAGACAAATCTCAACCGTTTAAATGATAGATACACAGAAGGAAGACAAGAATGAAAAATATTCACTGATACTATCTATTATGTATATATTCTGCTGAATATTGCAAATATAATCTTCATCACTGGGGATTTTCTTGAAAATCATAATTTTTAATTGCACATCATCTTGTGGTAAAAGTGTTCAACTACAAAAATCATTTATCTATTATCTAGGTACTCGAGTATAGAAACTTTTCCTCAAGATAAGGATTGACAGTCGAATATTAGCATACCCAATACAAGCATAGAATAATCATCAGAGTTTCACTTGCTGTAGCCAGGGAGAGGAATCTGTGCGTGGTAATGAATTGAGATTATGTTGATAGTTAGGAATGACATAGTGTTTGCACCTTACACATGGTCATTTCCCTTCTCATTCTACATAAAATCTTGGGGAGGAGGTGAGATTTTGTCGTCGATGTAGTTTACAACTCCTTGTCTGCTGTCTCGGTCAATACCTGGTGCATTGATTGATCTCAACTATCCTATTGTCGTCAATGCTATCTGCGTGGAGTTCCCCAGATATGGATCGAACCTGCACTGTGGTTGAAATATCTCGAGTAATGTTCACCAATGGGTACATTGTGAAATCTACTAGAAGGAATTGTCTCCGTCCATGTTTTCATGGGATGATACCTTCTTACCTGCCTCGAAGTCTTACCATTTCCCTTATTCTTTTGGCAATGGAGGTCTCTGAAGAGTTGAGACTGAGCACTTCTTCTTTTCCATTTAACCTCGCAAGTATCTGAATAGAAAATGCTTTCTTGAGGACGACGCATGTGATCTTTCAAGAACTCCGGCATTCAAATAGTCCAGATTGCAGGTAGGTTGTTGATATACAGAGCTCTTGCAAATATGCTCTCTCGGCCCTCACCATATTGAAGGGTAGCCGAACCAAGTAGAGACTACTACGGAGAAATCCCAAGTCCAACCTTCTAGCAACTCACTCGCCCAAGCCTAGCTTCCACACGAATTTGTTTGATCTTACCTCTACTGCATCTGTCTGAGGGCTAAACTCATTCCTTTTACACAATTTCCAAAAGAGTACAATCACTAATCATATCTGACCAAGCCCCATGTAAAATTTGTGTATGGTGGGATGGAGGTGATTACTCAAAGGATGTAGAGTTTTATCAGATACCACATTCAAGATATCCTACATACCCAGGTAAGTGAATGATTACATCGTCGAACTGCTGATGCTTAGACGGGCAACCAGTAAGTCTTTAGTCTTGATTCGTGAATGATCTCGAGTCAATACGTAGCACCCAGCAATAGACAGTGAGTCTTGATCAAATCTTGAAGCCGAAACTCATAGGGGTTCAGCTGGACGCAATCCGCAAGCACGTAGAAAGAGACGTTGGTTTAGTAGGTGGTCGTCCATCATCTCAATTCTTTTGATATCCATTGAATGGGTGTCCAACTCATCATGTCCACAATTTGACCGAACCAGAGCATGAAGTTGAGATAGATCCGAATAGTAACCGAATTTTTGACGAAGAAGTACAGAGAATGAGGTATAATGACACGTCTCTCTTGGTGTTTAGAGTTTTCTTGTGAAAAGGGCAATATAAACTAGAACGGGTTCGCCGGGTGAAGCAAAACGATACGTTATTATTGGAATTTACAAATTTTCAATTCCCGATTGACAAACGGCATCAAGTGAGAGTCAAATTGAAGACAAGCAGGGTCTTACTTCATCGTTGAACCGACCTCGTAAATCAAGGTTGATTACCAAAAGCGTGCGCGGAAATTCCGTCCGCTCCCCCATGACCCCAGGTACGGAATACGGAACGAAATCTGGAGAAATGGAAACGCTTTGATTTCCTTTTGGCTGGGAGGCTGGCTCTCCAGCTTTGGTTCTCCAATAATGGAATGAAACGATAAACCAATCGCTTCTGCATATCAACTAGTAATCACCCAGTCATTCGGTGTTCATGGTGATTGTGAGATTTTATCACCGAATTTCCATTCTTTTTATCGGTGATTACTCTTCCATTTTCAACTACGTAGGCACCTTTGGACAAGAAGCTGAGAAGATCGCGGGAACAATGCCACGAAAATGCGGAGACCGAGGTTACGTTAACCCGATCGACCGAGAAGGGCTTGAAGAAATACAGCCATACCACAGCAGAGAAATACAATGAAGAAAAGGCAGTATGGGTATTTTGTATGGCATTTACTACCTGTGCTGTCATGACATGCGTTTGGAGATAGGAAAGTTGGGGATGCACTTGATAAAAGGCACATGATGAGTACCTGGTTAGTACGGTTCCGAACCTTATTTAACTCATCAATCGAATCTACCATATCTTTCAAGGGAGGCTCGAGCTGGTTTCTCGACTACGGGAGTATCTACATCAATGGTGTGGATCATATTTAGAAAGGATGTAAGGATGGATGTACCTTCCCATTCCATTAAGGTCCCGCCACTAGTCGTAGTAGAGATCTCCGTGAATGAGGGGTAACATATGACTTATTTGACTGATTTGACTTCCTGAGTGTAAAGGGTGACATATTAGTGGATCATTGCCAGGTCCCCACCTACCCGAGCGCGCTACCCCTCTGTACATCGAATATCAAACTCGAGCCAGCTGCCTCCTGCCTCCCAGGTAATAAATAGACTTACCAATTATCAATTGATGCTTTAAGGGCATACGGAACGTTTACGCGCAGTGTAGTGTATCAATGGATCTGTGATATTGGGATAATGGAAATGATTGTATGATATTGAAAGACGTTTGTGCATGACGGCTTAAGAACTACCCCTACCCCTCAAATGCCACCGAAACTGTGGAGCATGAAGCACGCGCTAGGTATTAAGTAGGTGGATAGGTAGGTAGGTAAACACCTCGTGCTTTCTCTGTAGATGAAGTTTGATGCAAAGTTGGTCTTCTCAGTCTCCTGATAAGTTGGGAAGCTCTTGGAAATGAACCCGGGCTAGATTCACCTATATTCCCCTTTTGGTCCGGATTCTAGAAATACAGAGAATGGGATAGGGTGAAATGTGGGAATATATGTAATGGTTTGGGAGCTGCATCGGCCTGCATGTTACAGACACGTTCCACTCAAGCTGTCGGTATCTCCCTCCAAAGACAGTGATAGCAAATCAATTTCTCCCAACCTCCATGGGATATGACCGCCCAGGAGCTACCACTACCAGTTTACTAGGTTACCTCATGATTATGGCCAAGATAACATTCAAATACCCACCCCGCGTCTCACCAATTTGACTAATTGTAATTGTAGCGAGAAACCTTGTGAATACCTGCTACTAGTATACGTAGACATTTGCCGAGTATTGATGCCACCATGCTTCCGCCTCCCTCCCTTCAAGGTTGCTTTCGGGTTTAGATATCGTTAGCTTGGATCTACATTCTGTAATTAATAATTCTCTTGAAAGGAGGCAATTGTCCATTTACTACTACTTAAACCCATTACCCGACCCCTCACCTCGCCTTTTTTCCGTCTCTTTCTTCATTCCTCTTCAACTTTCCACAGTTCAAACAAATCGATTCACATACCACAACAAATATATACAACAACACATACTTTCATCGCGCGTTGCAATCAGATACCCATCATGACTTCAGTTCAACTCAAGACGCCACTTACTGGCGAATATACTCAGCCCACAGGATTGTATGTTGCTATCCAAAGATCTCACATTATTTACCCCGCACCCCGCACCCGGAACAAGATATCAAACAACAGCTAACAGTATCTCATCACAACAGGTTCATCAACAACGAATGGGTTAAAGGTGTTGATGGAAAGACTTTTGAAGTCATCAACCCTGCCACTGAAGAAGTCATCACTTCCGTACACGAAGCCACTGAAAAAGATGTCGACATCGCTGTCGCAGCTGCACGAAAAGCATACGAAGGAGAATGGAGCAAAGTTACACCCGAAGGTCGTGGCAAATTACTTGTCAAGTTAGCAGAGTTGGTTGAGAAGAATGCCGATCTACTGGCAGCTGTCGAATCGTTAGACAACGGAAAGGCAATTTCAATGGCAAAGGGCGACGTTGCCGCCGTCGCTGGATGTCTAAGATATTATGGTGGATGGGCAGATAAAATTGAAGGAAAGGTTATCGATACCGACCCAGAATACTTCACATACACAAAGCAAGAACCAGTATGTCATCTCTTAACTTGCAGGCAGACAAAGTTCAATCGCTAATATTTCTCTAGATTGGTGTCTGTGGTCAAATTATTCCATGGAACTTCCCATTGCTTATGTGGTCATGGAAGATTGGTCCCGCTGTCGCAACTGGTAACACCGTCGTTCTCAAAACCGCCGAACAAACCCCTCTCTCTGCACTTGTTGCTGCAAACCTCATCAAGGAAGCTGGTTTCCCTCCAGGAGTTGTTAACATCATTTCGGGTTTCGGAAAGATTGCAGGTGCTGCCATCGCATCCCACATGGATGTTGACAAGGTCGCTTTCACTGGTTCTACCGTTGTCGGTCGTCAAATCATGAAGGCTGCTGCTGGATCCAATTTGAAGAAGGTTACACTTGAACTCGGGGGTAAATCACCAAATATCGTCTTCAACGATGCTGATATCGAGAACGCTATCTCTTGGGTCAACTTCGGTATCTTCTATAACCACGGACAAACTTGCTGTGCTGGTTCAAGAGTTTACGTTCAAGATGGTATCTACGACAAATTCGTTGAGAGTTTCAAGGCCCGTGCTATCGCCAACAAGGTCGGCGACCCATTCCACCACGAAACATTCCAAGGTCCACAAGTTTCCCAACTTCAATATGACCGTATCATGGGTTATATTGATGAGGGTAAGAAGTCTGGCGCCACCGTTGTTACTGGTGGTGAGAGACATGGTGACAAGGGATACTTCATTCAACCCACCATCTTCTCTGATGTTACTGAAGACATGAAGATCATGCAAGAGGAGATTTTTGGACCTGTTTGCTCTATTGCCAAATTCTCTACTGAGGAGGAGATTATCAAGATCGGTAACGGCTCCAACTACGGTTTAGCCTCTGCCGTCCACACCCAAAACCTCAACACTGCTCTCCGTGTATCGAATGCTCTCAAGGCAGGTACAGTCTGGGTCAACTGCTACAATATGCTACACCACCAAGTACCATTCGGTGGATACAAGGAATCTGGTATTGGACGCGAGTTAGGTGAAGCAGCTTTGAGCAATTACACACAAACCAAGTCTGTAAGAATCAGATTGGGTGATGCTCTCTTCGGTTAAGGATTCTTTAATCAAGCAAATAGTATTTTAATTTGTACAATTTTGGGGGTTTTCAGGGCGATATGAGCCTGGTCTCGGTTCTTTGGTAGTATTAGCGTTTATGAATGAAATTACATGTCCATTAAATCTAACGGATAATTCTTGTTCAGTTTTCTTATCATGTCAACATTATTTTTTGTGTTTCCATAGGTAATCATATCCTATTCCTTAGTTTCTACAACCAATATGATATATGACAAAGATAATGCCGATGTAAGCATTATTAACATCTCCTCCCGGTCGCTTATCATATCGATCAAGTCTTGAAAGTTGCATGTGCATAAATGCGTTTGTCTTATCTACGTATTTGTCTCTTTCATTCTGATTTGGATGTTGGAATTTTGGCGGGGTTCATTTAATCGAGTAAAAGATAATTGTGACTGGTGTAGTAGATGTGAGGGAGTTTTCGCAGCATCAATGAGAGCTTCTTTAAGCTTTGAGCTTCAGAGAACCCCGCTCCTCCAAAGGATTTCGATAAGGTGGTCTGTTGAAAGAAATTTCGGTATGACGCCAAAGGCGTTCACATGCTCTTACGCCAAGCATACACAATGCACTGCAAAGGTAACGGTAGCTCGGGTAGGCAGGTAAGCTTCGATTATATCACACAAACATATCTTCTACCAAATATGTAGATAGACGGTCCAGCCACAAAACGGCTGTAAGGACTGTAACCATGAGAAGCTCTAATCAATTGATCAATGTCCGAGAGCTCTTACATTTCCAAGCCGGTCTCTTGCAAGGACGCTACACACCTCGTTCATCAACCACCCAGTTAATTATAGCCAATAGGTAAACTTCATCGTGTGATTGACCTTTGGTTGCATAAATCTATCCTCAATTTGGACAAGAGGTAAGGATGAAGCTCGAGTAAGTGCGAGTAGCTCCAGTGAGCATTTTGATAAGAATACCAATCCTGAACGAAAGTCACCGAGTTGACACTTAAAGTTTGGAGCTTCTATCGCAAGGCAGTTACGTATAAGTACACAGTTGGTCGTCATTTCTACCAGATCCTCAAGGCTCAAACCGTCCAGACGATGTACTGTGTGTGAAAAGGTATAAATGAGCGTGTGATATCTTGAATACCGATTATTACCATCCTCTACTACTTACAATCCCAAGCATTTTACGTCGGCAGTATCATTCTATGCATTTCTAACTCATCATACCATCAGAAAATATACTTCGCCGCGAAAGTTGTCGCAAACGAAGCTTTAAATTTACCCCGCATTCCCTACTGCATCCAGCTCTTGAAGCTTTTCACGAACTCGTTTTGAGAAGCTTTGGAGGAGAGAAAGTATTTCGCACAAAGGAATGACTCGAGGTGCTGAAAGAAATGACATAATGCACAATTAATGACGACAATCATCGCACTTTATATCTTGTGTTCGAATACTCGGCACGAGAATTGAGAGCGTTCTGGAAGACAATTTTTCAAAACTTCATTCCGCACACAAATCCGATTTTTAAGACTACCTTGGATGCTATTTTGGACTTCACACATCAATTGACACATTGAACCTTTATTGCCTGCCTAGAATCACTATCAAGATGGTTTTGGTATCTACTCTATTTATTATCTCGATGGCTTCACTTTCCATAGCTCAGTCAAACATGGTACCCATAACATGGTCCTCCATTGTTTATACGTATTATGGGGAAATCACTCCTACGATGATCAATGCCACTTCTCCTGTTCTTACACCTCTGGGGGCTAGTCAACTCTATAACTCGGGATCTATCATTCGCGATCGTTACCTAAATTCTACCTCAACCCAACTCACTCTTGGACTACCCGTCAACGGCCTAAGTGATCAATATATTGTCAATAATCAATTACAAGTATGGACTACTAGTGATGAGTATATTGTTGGGAGTGCGCAAGCTTTCATGCAAGGGCTTTATCCCCCCGTGACGGGAGTACAAGGAACAGATAGTGTACGTGTTATATCTCAATCCGCTCTCATTTCTATGTCTCCCTGTCTCTCAGTCCCATGATATCCGATTATCATTGTCTATTATCTTTGTAATTTGAGTCATTACTGATATGAAGACGTGTTGCGATGATAGATTCTAGCCAATGGCACCGTCATCGACTATCCTCTAGGTGGTTATCAGTATCCCAATATTCAATCGCTGAGTTCAATGGACTATAATTATATTTGGTAGGCATTTTACCTTTTTTTTCACATCTCACCTTCATTATTTTTGAAATGTATGCTGATCTTATTACAGGATTGCGGGGAATGACCAATGTAGAACCTACGACATTGCAACAAAATTTACGAAGACATCCCCAAGTTCAACCTCTATGATGGCTAGCACTGATGAGTTTTATCTCTCTCTTGCGAACACCTTCTTCGCCGGCATCGATAACTCTTTGCTTAATTATGGCAACGCAATCAACCTTTATTACTATGCACTTTACCAATATAATCATAATAGCTCTATTTATGATATGACCAATTCATTCGGTCTTCTGGAGACTTTGAATGGTTTTGCATCAGAACAGGCTATCTCTTTTAATTCGCCTAGCACGGGATCCAGTATTCAATATATAGCAGGTCAAACTTTTGCCTCCAAAATTATTCAACAATTTCAACAGACTATTTCGAGTTCTGGGGTCAGCGACAAATTGTCTCTTTACTTTGGTTCCTACGAACCAATGTTAGCATTCTTTTACCTCTCGTCCCTCTCTACCTCAGATCTCACCAGAAAACGTTTCTCTAGATTTCCAGAATATGGAAGCATGATGGCCTTTGAGCTTTTTAGTTATGTTGAAGAAGCGCAATATAATTCATCCAACTCATTCCCAGAAGCGAGTGAATTATGGGTCAGATTCTTATTCAGAAACGGAACCTCAAACACCGACCCTTTGATATCTTATCCCCTATTCAATCTCGGCAATTCGGAAATCGACATGAAGTACAATGATTTTGTCACAGAAATTGGAAAGTTTGCCATCAATGATTTGAACGCCTGGTGCAGTTCCTGTGCCTCTATCTCATTATTCTGCGCGGCCATTCTCAGTAACGAGTCTTCTAATCTCACTTCAAACAACACTAAAACATTTCGTTCAAAAGGTGTCAACGGTGTAGTTGGTGGCATTATTGGAGCAGTTGTTACATTGGTAGTTGTGATGCTCATTGCATCAATTCTTGCGATCTTTGGGTTCAGAATGCACCATCGTGAGAAGATAATTCCCAACGCCGCTGGGGGTGTTGGGATTCTAAAACGAGGCTCATCCGGGGGCGGAGGAGGGTTCAAAGGTCCCGAGAAACTCGCATCTGATACAGATCTTAACATAGTCAAAGGACCTGGTGTTGGTGCTACCATGAAACATGAAAGAGTCGGCAGCTGGGAGATGGGTAACGCACCTAATAATAATGCCAACAGCGGCGAAGGAGCTATGGGATTGAGACAGGAAAGAGTAGTGAGCACCGCGGATTACAATAGGAGAAGCGAAGATGGAATCGGAAACCATGATCCTTGGGGAAAGGGTGTCCAGGGTGAGGACTATGTTTGATCTATCACAGTGTTTTGCGTATCCCAGTCATGAGAGACCTTGTATTGTATCACATTTACCTTTGCCAAGTGGTGTTTGCGGCATCTTGATTATAAAGGTGAACTTGATAGTGGGTATACATAAAGAAATAACTATGGTCGTCTGACAATAGTCAGATAAACCGAAGAAGTTAAATGATTTGGTTAGTATGATAGACCAATACCACACCCTCAATTTTCAGAGACCGAACTATGGTGGGTTTACCATCTTCATAATCTGCAATTTTATCGAGCAATCGGCAAACTTGATAATGATGATGCTCAATACTATCTTCCCGTGTGATTGTTTTACAGCTATATGTATCTAATGATGACCCTTTCCTGAAGGTGTTTTGTCCGCTGGGGTCCAATTTCCGCAGTTTTTAATCAGGAAGCAATACACATTTGATATACAAGTGCCAAGAACAAAAGTTAGTGTAGTGAAATAAGTACCAAGAGCAATCTGCTACTTTTGAAGCACTTTTCTGATCGGAAAATATCCCATCTATTCGTACATATACAGCCGCTAGTTGTTCTATCATCAATTTTTCGACGTGCGGTGGCTAAGGGTTGACTTTCTGCTAGACTTCTGCCAGACTCTATGCGATACTTCAAATTCTCTCTTGAGAACTCCTCGACACAGCGACGTATTTTTTCTTGAAGAGTCTTTCGCTCATCATGACGTCTCCGTCCACTTTGTTCCAAGAAAAAGCATCAGCTTCACACATTCGTTGAAAGCCCACTCTTGCTCGAGACTACGCTTGGTCTTGTGTTTTATTGGATCCCATACTATTTCGTCTAATAGACACCTTTAGTCTGATTCATTTCTAGACCATCTGCAACTATAAAAAACGAAGAAATACTTACTCCCTAGAGAAAATTCATGTTTAACATAAGCATATTGCTTTGGCCACCTGTGTTGTATGAATGACAATTCCATGCTTGATTCCATTGTATGGCAATTAAATATCTCATCAGAGTTACCTGTGACTCTATTAATTAGCAAACAGTTTTGTTTGAGCGATTTTCACTTCTTTGCCAATCCACGCAAGACATACTTTTAAGGGGGGACTTAACTCCGGAAACACTCGTTTCTGGTCGCTATATCTAAGACGTACATCAAGAGAAACATATCAACCAAGCTACCGGCAAAGACTATCTCAGAGACGCCGGCGCAGAAATAGGCATTTTATCAACGTTTGCGACCAAAATATGAAAACGAAATATTTGCGAGATTGTGCAGAAACCCTAACTTCAGGAAATCACTCATTATGGCTTTTGTTCAATTCGCTGTCCAGAGGAGGAAACTCTTCTGCATCTTGAATCGATTTCACCGGTGATATGCAACTCAACCTCATGACTGTCGAAGCAATTCTCAAGCAAACTGGATAAATACATGCAATAATATTTTCCTTCCCAGCAGACATACTTACTACGTGTTCGGATATAGGTATTAAATTTTCCAGAGAGCTGTAAATATTAAGATCATTGAGTAAACGAATGCTGCATTGATGTCCCGACGTCTCATCCTTCTGTCCGTTATCTGCAATATCGCCTTTCAAAGAAGGCGGCGATGGAAGCGCAGTTCAAGCATACTTGTAAGCCGCCTTGGACAACAGCATTCGCCCTTAAGAAACAGGAGTCAACATCTTACCCATCAACGTAATCTTCTGTAAGTATTACACTTTGTTCAGCGTTCGAGTAACTCGACGTACCAGTATATTCTCATCATCGTGGGCTCTCATCAAGCAAGTAGATGTCGCTAGTTGCTTATACACTACTGAGATGGCTACATCTTCTGGCGGATTTGGGTAATAGCGACTTTGGCGTACGATCCCATCGTCGTTGAGTCGCTGATGTTTTTGGGAATTATGCTCGCCTTGAACCTATTCTTGGTCAATTTGGAGGAACAGTTTCAAATTATTCTGAGTTTTAGTCCAAACTCTCTCAGATCTTTCAATGCAGTCATTACTTAGACTAGATCCAAGAACATTTGAGCAACCGCAAGTTGGGTCTTAAGTTTTGTATTCATTCGCGACAACTTGGAGAACGACGACAAAAAAGCATGTTATGGCAGATAAATACATCATTTGTCACAGATTTTTACTCATACGATTGAACGAATCTTACCGCAGAATAATCTAATACCCCATCGATTATCCTCAATAAATGATGAAAATGTTCAATTGAGATGATGAATTTGTCTTTCAACACTGTTTTCTCCTCTCCTTTCCTCTCCTGACCACTGCCACGAATATCTGTCATGAACTTGAGCTTAATCTTTTTCTTAAATAAGTCTTGTTCTTATGTCTCATCAGTGCAATTCAAGATTCTCTTCTCTTATTTTTGATCGGCTACTTCGACACAAAGCCGAATATCCTTGCTTCATGATTTTTTGTAGTTATGATACCAAAAGAAGTTCAACCACAAAAATTCCTCTTGGGTTTGACAGTCTTTTGCAACCCGATGTGTATGATCATTGAGTTTCTTCGCTCTGCCAAGAATGTTGTAGGATGGCATTAGAACGAAAGCTAGACCCTCTAGCACCACTAATAGGTTAACTAATGACACCAGGAAGCCACACTTTTAAATTTTCGTCAATTATATATAGAAACCATCATCACACTGAGAACCTCGTTCATTTCAAAAGTAACATATTATCATATAGCCAGAAACCAAGTTCATCATCTTTCATACAAAACTTCAAGACCAAATATCAGCTTCATCACCATTATCCACACAAACTTTCAACGATGATTTCCACAATTCTTTCCAAAGATGAGACACTATGGATCTCTATAGTATTGTACATTTTCGTATCGATGGTAATTGGATTGTTATCTGGTGGGGTGCGTGCTCTCGACGTTCAAGACGTAATGAAATCATTGATGAAGAACAAGCCGTCGTTTCCGAAGGTACTGTCGACAGTTCTGGGGTCATGACTGAGAGGTGATTAAGGGAATGACTGTGGTACATCAAAGAATGAAGCCCAAATCAAATGACGATGCTAAGGTCATATATCGGGGAGTTACCTATGTCCTTGAAATCTCATACTCGGGTTCTAGAAGCGGAGTGTCAAAGTCCAAGTGCCGACACTAAAAAGAGGCTCTGCGAGTGAGGGAACGCAGATCAGTGACCGCGTCATCGATAGTATCTGGGAACAATTTCTGTTACCTATTGGAAAGTCTATTTCTCAAGAGCTCTGAGCCTTTGCTACAGCAAAGTGTATATATAACGACCAATTATCTTACGAGAATCATCGACAGATAGGTTATATAATCAATTTTCATGAAAAGTTCATATCACGCAATTCAATTAGGTATGTAAAAATCTTCAATTACGGTTCTCTCCAGCGGCACTATTGTTTACCCCTGAGTGATTTTCTTTATCGCTTTCGTTTCTGACATTTTCATTCACAGACATACATTCATTAAATGCAACTTATTATATGCAATGCGTATAATAAGCGGGCACTGGTCCCCAACATTTGTTTTCACTTCCCTAAATCGAATATATCCATCTTTGTAGAATAAAAAGTTACCTGCTAGAGCCTCTAGAGGCCTAGCCGTCCTATATAGTCTTAGACTGAACGTGGACGTAAATGAAATCAATCAATCAATCAATCAATCATTAAATGCAATACTCCGGCTTTGAGAGACTACATTTAAATGAATCATGATTCCGAACTTCTACTACAGCACCTGCTGGCAAATCTACATTGAGCTTATATCTTGTTAGATCGCCAGAGCGGCCCTGCTGTACAATTCAATAGATAATCATCAATTCACAACAGGCAATCCAACATGGAGAGATCAATCCTTAACCGAAGAACTGAAATTGCTTGTGCAAAAGTATTCTTAAGGTGCGTCTTCTCGTGCTTTGTTTTATGATACACAACACTTAATTTCAAAAAAGCATCGATAACCTCCTTCTCAACCAAAATTTACAACTATCCTCCACGTTGTCTTACTTCATCAGACATCTTCTCGGTAAAATCAAAGAGATCATGGCACCTTCACAGCAACCAAGATCTGTTTCCAGCATGGGGAACTGGGAGTCATCTCACCTCGACAGGATGTGGGTTAACGATCTTATGGAACTTCATCGACAGGACCTAAAACAACGAGAAGTGATGTCAATGATCCGGCGACAGGCATTCAGCATGGAGAATTACCCTGACATTGATAAAGAGAAGCTTCTCGCAGAACATGTCACCGAACGCTGGATTAAGAATGTCATCTTCGTTAGGGATGGACAGAAGTGTATCATCGCGAAAGGTAAACAACAAAACATTTTTACATTTTAATAATCTCTAACATCATGCAGACATTGGTCAGCGCAAAGACTTTTGGTTCCCATGGTTTGAGGAGCACTTCGACAATAAACACCGAAAGTATTGCGTCGATCAGCGTGGCCGAACACTCAGCGAAGTTGACCATACAAGCAAGAACCGCAGAGCTTTCATGGAGGACACCCAACACAAGAGCGAGAAAGGATGGCACTTACCTCAAAGCCATGATCGCCATATCTTCAAATTTCCTCGTGGTAAGTCGGAGTTTGACGTGATTTCTTTCTTGACTTTTCAAGCCAGACTCAGTGCAATGAATCGGGAAATATTTCTGGCATTTTTCGCTTCCAACACCCCATAGAAATATATCGATCACTAAAGCTAATTTTCCACGTGCTGCAGAGATCTTCGACAATGTAATGGGTCATCTAGTGCAAGTTATGGATGCCGCACTTGTGCCTCAAATCGCGACGACGAATTGGAAAAGAGAGTTTTCTGGCTCACCCCACTACATGCCTGGTCAAGACTGTAATCCATATACAACGACTGAGGTCGGTGTACTCACCACAACTGTACATGGCAGACTATTGGTATTGCGCAGACTTCACCAAAGTCAAATAGACGCTACTTGTCTACGAGTGTGTAAAGCCTGGAACCAGACGGGAGGTAGATTATTATACCATTTCAACTGCTACGATTTCAAGACCAACAATCCGAGTAGCGAATCAAGTCCTGGAAGTTGGATTGACGGCGATTTTTGGCGACCATCTCCGCGCAAACCCTTTGTCACAGCTAGCGACGATTCATCTAGAATCTTTAATGCCAAAATCCAGAAGGGCATTAGAGACATTCAGAGGCGAGTGACGATCAAGAAATTAGTAGGATGGGTATACCACGATCCATTTCTACGCTTCTTGTATATGATTGGCGTCAAGAATGCAGCCCTTCTTCGCACCCTGTCATTTTCTGGTGAGGTTCGCTGTCACCAATGCGAGCAGGGTCACTTTTGCGATGACTGTCTTTTGGATAGCTTTCGGGTTTACATTCCCGTTATGAATGCGCTTTGTCCCAATGTACAGAAATTGATTTTGAATATCAAAACAGACAGCCAAGCACAGCTGGAGGCTGCAAACATATTCGAAAGGAAGGTCCGTGAGTTTTTCGAGGGCGAACTTCGAAATTTGAGATTTCTTACGGAACTGGTGGTAGTCGATTTGATAGTAGATGGCTACGAACTACCAGATGGTGATATTGGAAGTATTTCAACCGCTCAGCTCGCAAAGCCAACGGTCAGTTATTTCCGAAAAAGAGCTTCTTAATCGGTCAATGGTTAGAGGTCATACATCTACCAGAGATTGATTTAGAGGTATGGTTTTTGGAGCCTGATCTTGGGGTCTTTAGAAGATACGTGTAGCTTTTGAGTCGGGTTTAAAATGTCAATTTGGAGGGTGGACTCATAGGGATGTCAATGGCCAACTTTTGGGGTGTATGTTCGGAATCATAGTTGAGGGTTGAGATGAGGGGTAATAACTACGTAGATAGTGGTATAATAAGTACCTAGTTATTTATGAATTTGATTACACACACATGAATCATGACATCCTTATATGATCCGAAATTTCAAAGACATTGACATCGACTTTAAAGTGATAGATAATGATTATTGATACTTGAGAATCATCTGACGATTGGTATTATTTGAATTGTATTCTTGTTGAAGATTGTATTATGTGGTCCCATCAAAACCAGACTTAATACTCGAAGAGGCAGCAGAATGCCTGGGAACCTCTTTTTCGTGTTCACATCGCAATTCAACAATCCATTGTTCTCTAATGGCAAAACTGATACGGGCTGGTCAAATTCACGGACGAAACAAGTTGACTAACTACTGCCAGTGCTTTTGAGGGAGATGAAAAGACGTAATTGAAGTTGGTACGGCTAGAATATGGCAATCGAATTGCAGCAAAGCAAATGAATTCAAAGGGTTATGGAAATTCGTCTATTTATTGATCACTTGACGACCGGCAGATTTTGTCTCATCAACTAGATGGATGTGTGTATTAGGCTCATGGGAATAAAGCTTTCACGACAGCATGGCCGTTGTATATGAATAAAACATAGGTTGGAGATTTGGAAGCTTTCAAGTCGATAAGCCCACGGACTGCCGGAGACCCCGATGTTACCAATAATTCTCAAAATATACTTTTTTAAGAATCAATTTCGAACATTTGAGGTAAGATACGTAAGTAAATATTTACTAATGGATTTTAAGCACACACATTTGGTGGTGGATTGGAATCGACATGCTCACCACGGCTGTATGTTGGTTGATCAATTTGTACCTGCATTGCCAAGACAATTGATCAATTGATCAATCAATCAATCAATCTTCATTAGATTGATGAGATGTCTGTCAAATTGTCAATCAGGGGTCTCTATTTGAGAACCTAGTATTGACCGCTGTCTGTTGAACTGTCTGTTGAACTGTCTGTTGAACTGTCTGTTGGAACTCGAATGCTCCACAAGCTTGAAGGAACTGAGATAGAGGTAGTTGGTAGTTGCAGGCCCTTGAACCCGATCCTTGCTGTTTGATCTTACTGCTGAATTTCCACTTCATCGCCGTTCCTTCATCGCCGTTCCTTCATCGCCGTTCCTTCATCGCCGTTCCTTCATCGCCGTTCCTTCATCGCCGTTCCTTCATCGCCGTTCCTTCATCGCATATGCAAGCACCACTCACTGTCTTAACGGTCTACCACAGTCTTTTGTATGAGGCTTCGATGGGATATGTATTCGCTACCTCAATCTTATTCCCTTTACACTTCTTCCCATCTTTCCTTTCCTTTTCTGCCCTCTTCACTTCTTCCCTTTCATTCAAATTCCGTCTCAATCAATGACAAACCAACACATGGGAGACATAAAACCTTGGAATACTTACGTAGATGAAGCACGGCTGCATGGGGTGGCTGGTGCTTATCGAGGTACTTTATTTTGTGGGTAAATTTATTCATGTGCCGCATTTCTTGCCATCCACAACCAATTGGAATTCTGGATAACTTCATGTTTCAAATTTCAATCTCGTATATCCAAGTCATTGATGTATAATGACGTCCATGTTGAAAATATCAAAGATCGATCTATCTGATTCTAGCCAAACACATTCAGATTCATGCCGCCTCTTTTCTCCTTCAATGCCTTGGAACCCCCCCTCCCCTAAAAGCCATGACCTTTTCACGACCTTTTCGACCAATGATGGTTCGGAAGAATGATGAGGTTCAGATCCTTCCACCTTTAAATCCTGCAGCCGCGACCGATTTATAAATTGTTTTTTTGTTGTTGCTGTTGTCGTTGCTGTTCCTACTGTTATTTGAAGATCTTTCCTTCTTCATCTTCATCTTCATCTTCTTGTCGTCGTTTGATCCGATCTATACGCATTTTCGAATTGTGTATATATCTCTTCTCTCTTAGGATCTCATTCGATTGAAGTGGTTGGTGAGGCGAATTATCCATAACATCACCCGCCATTGAAAATCTATCAAATATTTACACCTCCAGACCAGCAGTTCACACTCAAATAACACACATTTGTACAACAACCATGGTTACAACTCTCCCTCAAGTGCTTCTTGCACTTATCCCAGTGGCTTTGGCATTTCCAGCGCCACATCCAGTAGCTCAACCCGTTCCTCATCCTATGATAACTCCACGAGCCTCTTTGACGGATAGAACACCATCGCTAGTGGAAGAAAGAGGAGTGATTAGCTCCGTCGAATCATCCATCAAAGGTCTAGAAAGTTATATTACCAGCGTTCTCGGCACTTATCCTTCATACATTGCTAGCGGGGTACCCAATTTCTTCCAGGATTTTCCAACCGGAAGTGCGGTCCAAAGTAGTTTGGGAATTGGTGATAGTGACTTGGCAGCAACTCCTACACAAGTCTTGAATATCCCGTAAGTTCAACCTTCTCCCTCGTTGTAATTTTATTTCAAGAAGAATAAAAGACAACTAATTAATCATCAAACAGAGGATATGCGAACTGGACTGATCAAGGCTGGAACCTTCGTGTCCATGGAAATGTCTTCAAACAACCAAACATTTCCGAATCCAAGCTGGACGATTTAGCAAACATCTTCCTGGTTGGTACCTCAATCGAAGATCTTCCCGCGGCCCAACAAAGTCAAGCCCGAAATCTTACTGCCGAAATTTTCGTCGTACAACAAGCACATGTTAATGTTTCATTCAGCTTGGAGCCTGCTGCGTCTCAAGGTGGAGATGGAGAGAGTGGCGGTGGTGGAGCGGTAACCGCAGGTGGAGGAGCCCAAAATATTACACTTGTGGGACAAACAACCGTGGAGGGTGATTATGATCAATTTATCCAAATCGCCAACGTTTCTGGACCTGGTGGATATCTTGCTCCTGGTAACGACACAACCGACATTCAAAGAATAAATGTTTACACCGATGGCACACTGACCGGAAATGCAACATCCTACCTCGTCCCTGAGTCTGGTATTACCATTATCTCCGATATTGATGACATTCTTCGTGTTACAAAAATTTACGAACCAAAAGAAGGTCTTCTTAACTCTTTTGCCAGACCATTCACTCAATGGATGAACATGCCCGATATTTACGCCAATTGGTCTCGCACCATCCCTAACTTCCACTTCCATTACTTAACCACTACCCCGGAGCAAGTTACAAGGAACTACATGCAATTCATCTACGACACCTATCCAGGAGGATCTTTTGATACTCGTCCCCTCAACTTCTCCGATGTATCTGCAACACTCTCTATCCGAAAGTATCTTCTCACCAAGATCTTTGAGACCTATCCCAACCGCAAATTTATTTTAATGGCCGATACTTCTAACTCTGATGTTATGAAGGATTATCCTGAGATGGCTACCGATTTCCCTGGACAAGTCCAATGTATCTTCCTCCGCAACACATCTGCGACGGACAGTGGAGACAAATTCCCATACGAGACATCCGGTTTCCAAAATTTGAATCAGTCACAATACATGTTCTTTAAAGTGCCAGATGATCTCACGAACCTCGATATTGTCAATGGACAATGTTACAACAGCACTATTCCACAAAACCTCACATTCAGCCTGCAAGGACTACCTTTCGGATTGAGCAAGAGTGGTGCTGGAAAGAGCATGGCTATTGGACGGAGTTTGGTTTGGGCAGCCATGGTTGGAGCTTTTATGCTTGCCTTGTAAGAATGACATGAGTTAGATGAGATAATGCATTGGATACGATTCGGCGTTCAGAGTGTCGGACTTTTATTGGGGATTTCAAGACTCACAAAATACCTTTATAATGTGTAGATGATTCATTCTTGCTCCATTGTGCTTTCAGTGCTGCGAATTCGTGAATTTTAATGTCCATGTTTGATATGATGCATATCGAAATATATGCACGAGAGCGAAACGTTTTTCTTTTGCATTTTTATATATTCTGCTTTCACAATGCCATCGAGCGGCATGGGCCGTCATCGCATGTAATCTTTCAGGTCCCTATACAAAGATCCAGCCAAGTGTTATCAACTCAGCTGTGTGCCATTCTATGCACATTTAGATCCCTGTGTTCAACGATAGAACAAACCCCTAACTCCCGACTAACCATACCCGGCCATTCGTTCATTTCATCCATCAAATATAAATCCCATTATGGATTCCAATTACTTCCCAGCCCTTTACCTCCTAATTCCAAAGCGAGTAAAGCAAAATGACCACCAACAGTGGGTCTAGCCCTCAACGCTTCTTCAATCCCTTCCTCTGTATTTCCATCCACTCTAACCGTCCATCTATCACTAAAGGGCCAACTATTCTTCCCGTTGCTAATGAATACCCAAAGATCATCAACGAACGATTGTCTCACATCCCCTGTCGTTGTACCTGCAGTCCAAATATTCCAGTCGGATTTCGCCCATGCCTGACGAGAGTCAAGAGCTACTCCGCCATCTGAGCGAATGGTTGGATAATAAATCTCTTGCATGGCATATGCTGCGTCTGGGAAGGTTGATAAATCGAGTAAAACGTCTGGGTAGAGATTGAAGGGGATTTTCCAGGAATCGTCATTATTTGGGTAATTGAGTACGAAATGTGTTTGATCCGCATCAGTTCCTAGTTTATTCGTGTAAATTTGAGTAGCATGCGCATCTCCAATGGTTGAATAATTCGAATAGGTTTCACCGGCTAGAGAAGCAAAAGCTTTCAAACCAACTGCTGCTTTGATTGCGAGGTTGGTTTCATTCGCGAGAAGACCGGCAGCATCGTTGGTAGAGAGTTGGAGAGTTATAATGAGGGAAGTTGATGGGAGATATGACGCGTACTTGTTGAGAAGTGTGTAGTATTTCTCTGCCCAAGCTGTATTATTAGTCGCTTTTTGGTAAGCGAGAGCGAGTATGAGTAAATTGCCGGTTTCTTCTATTGGCATTACCTCTGCGACGCCATCATCATGGCCGGTGGCATTGGGATAGGCGGAACCTATATCATGAATTACGTAAGGTAGAGTCCAACGACCGGAAGCGAGATATTGGAGTATTGGTTCCAGGAGGAGACGTAAATATTCTGGGTTTGTAACATACAGAACCGGAAACAGGGGCATGATGACATCTACGGTATTAACGTTCCCATCACTTGAAACTTCCTTGACGAATGCGAGGACATCGCTGGTATTCAGTGTAGCATTTGGAATTACCAAATCGATTCCTCCGTATACTTGTCGTAATGACAAGGTCGTGATATCTGAGTAATTTGTACCAGCGACCTGAGTTGCGGCTGCAGACAATTCAGAATCGATGGTTTGAGACTCGGCCAATGCATCGTCATAATCTTCAAAGAAATGTTCCAAGGCATCGATAGTTTTTGGATATGTCGCACGATAATACCCAGTGTATGGTATTCCTAGATAATTGACTGCAGCTTCTCTCACATATCCAACGGCATAAGTAACAGAGGATGTTTCTGTTACACTTCCGAGATCGTGGGAAATTCCCGTGACTCCATCTGCTGACCAGGTACCCAGAATTCCGGAGAGGGCACCTGTGTCTGAAAAGACTTTGCGGACAGCAGTCCTATCACCTGATTCAGTAGTGAGAGTAGAAGTGGATGAAGGTTGAGATGAATAGATGGCTTCACCCCATAGTGCTTGATCTGAAGCCTCTGAGTATGTGGCTCGATTGTTGGCTCTGATTGAAAATGCTGAGGTGGTGTTTTGTTTCGTGAATGTCCAGGATGAGGATTCAGTCTGACCAGTCCAAGTGCCACTGATGTCTGAATATATCTGAACATCGGTCGCAGCAGTAGTCCCAGCAGATATAGTCAAGTAACCTGCCTGAACATCAATGAAATTTTCTAGGTTAACGTTTTTGGAGAATGTGAAGGTCATGTTTAATAGAACTTACTAAAGGGGAGGGATTGTCTCAGATAATTCCCAGTGCTAACGGGAGAAAAGAAGTCCAAGCTGAAGGTCACATTTCCAGCCGTAACATTAAAAATCGAATGTGTAGAGGTATATTTCGCCGATGTTGTAGTCCCATATCTTGTTCCAGTTCCTGGGGAAGCTACCCCGAAAATATTCCATGTAACATTATCCACGCGTGCAATTACGCTCCATATCAAATTTTGGCCTGTCCAGAATTGTGCATTTCCAGAACTAACGTTCTTGGCGAGGGAACTCGGGATCCAGGCGGAAAGATAAGGATTCCTCACTGCAAGAGGATATGAAGGAGGTTGAATAGGTTCATAGATAACAGTTGCGGATGTATCTCGGTGGTGATGTTGTTGTTGAGCCTTAGTGACCGGGATGAAAACAGCCAGGAAAATGAACAAAGCACCTATCACAACTAGAACTCCCCTCCGACAATACATAGATAACATGGCTTTCCGATTCGAATCCAGTAACTCCTTCTTTTGAGATTCTGACAAAGTATCAGAGGAAGTGATTGAATCGTCAGATATAGCACGTCCAAGAGGAGGAGGTCGACTCCCGGCGAAGGTTTTGTAGTTTATTCTGCCCATGATGAACGTCTGGGATGATGTTGTATCACGCTGGTATTGCGAATGTGATTATCTGCAGAAGAGTGACTTGCTAATCTGCAGGAGTACGTCGCCTACCAGATATAGGTATGTGCAGATGAATCAATGAATCAGAAATGCAGAAGATCTGAAATTGGATTGCAAACACACTCCTGTGACATATTTTAGAAGAATGTTGTGGCACAGTGCTAGTGCATCCCGCTCAGGGATCTGTGGGGTTCATCGACACCAAAAACAGGAGGCAATGTTCTTAAGACCCCAGTCATTCAAGATCTACTCACTTTATTTTGATTGTAAAATGCTAAATTTATCATCAACCCAGAAATTGTGCAATGAAAGGTCTTCGAGAAGCCTATAGTGATTCATGAAGATCTGATTGTGGGTATGTTTTATGCATAAGCGTGGTTAGTTAAGTGAGCTTACTACATAAATACAGGGGCTTCAAATCCGCTTGCTAGATGCGCAGCGGCCTAGAGAAGCTTTCACGAGATCAGATGCTGGGTATGCTGGGTAATCTAGGTTAAAACCAACAGTTGGTCTGCAGGTGTAAATTCATTCATTATTATGCGCGACTATACCAATAAACGCACCGTGTCCAAGCTTTTTAGGCTATCAAACGCCATGAACACCAAAAGGGTTACCAAAATGCATCGCTGACACCAGGAGCATTTCCAACCCAAATTCAAACATTTGGTAGGACTTCAGATCATATTGAGCTAAAATCATATCGCAAATCCTGGTACTCGGGGTATCTTTTAATCACCGTCATCACTCTCATCATATGTCGTCAAAATTGCGTGATGTGATTTAACACTCCACAGTTCATGCAGAAGCGTGGGCAACAACAAATGCCGCAGCAGCTGCTGCATTTTCCCCATAAGTTAAGTGAGCTGGAAGAATTATATCCCCAGCTTCACAGATGTTATCACCAGTGTGGCAGATCGTGTTCACTTTCGATGCGTCCATGTTTGGAATGGCTTGACCATTATCTATTCGTCGATCTATTAGCATCCTCTCCACATTATATATTAAGGAAGAAGGATCTCTAAAGAATCTAAAGAATTCACATACCTGGATCGCCGAAGATCACGACAGAGCTAATCCATTTCACGGTTGCTGCAGGAAGTAACGCAAGTGCGTTGTGTACAACTTGACCTCCTTGAGAATAGCCAGATGCCACAAGATTTGTGTTTGGGCATGCTGCGTACGCGGCCTCAATTTCTGATGCCCTATATAAAAGTCAGATACCCGATGACGAAATTTCTTCACATATTACAAAATATTGGATTGTTCATATCATGTTTGTTCATATAGGTAGCCAAAGGGAGACATACATCGAAGCACTTCCAACAGGATCACCGCCAGCGAGGAATGTTGCTACGCTTGCTGCATAATTATTCACACCTTGAACGGTGACCTTAGAAGACCCTACAAGAGCTTCCAATGCCATGAAGAATGGCGGACCGGTGATGACTCCTGTATTTCCTGGATCATCTGTTCCTCGGGCGTAAATGACAGTGTAGTCAGTGCAAGCACCGCCTAATTCATTATAAGTATCACTAATGCCAGTGAGCTCCGAGATGAGGTTCTGGAAGTCAGTGATGACACTTTCAACCACTTCGATTGCGCCATTGACTGCTGGAAGATGGTTTAGGATTATGGTGAGTATAGTGTTGAGAGGGGTGTTTCTCTTCTCGTTGTGAGCGACAGGTCGAGGGGAAATGGGCGCAGCCGCAGCCAGACTGGCAGACAGAACGGTGAGGAGAAGATTAAGCTTCATGGTGAAATCGAAACACCTCAAAGGGGATGATGAGCCTGTCGAAGGGCTGGAGACAAAGGGACCACGAACGAAGGGGAAGGAGAATGAGAATGAGAGAAACACGAGCTGGGCTGGGGAAGGAAGACATGATGGAGATACAATTCACCCTTTATAATGGCTTGAAATGAGGATAAATCGACGATTCACTGAATCTTTTTCTTCTCTCCCATTTCTACTACGGAGTAATCTAATCATGGGTCTGTAAACGCGGGGAAACGGCGAGGATACCACTGCGAAGATTTACTCCATCATTCTACTCGTGTACAGGCACAGATGAGTTTGGATTGGTGCGGTACGAACGGGACAATGTCAATCAGGAACCATCTCCGACGATGATCGGCAGTAAGCAAGCTGTCACACCAAGGAAGTACTTACGAAGAACAGCACTCGGGGTAACGCAAGGTGTAGGATTTCATGGCACATACCAATTAGGCTTCGATGCAACCAAAGGGTAAGGGATCGACGTAGATTCGTTGAGGAAAACTGTTCTCATGACCATGTTTGGCGCAAATGGATCTTTTTTGAAGGATGGGGTTAAATTGATTCGGTGTAACTCTATGGATACCTTATGGAGTCGATCAATTAAGAAATTAAAAAGCGGTGTTGATTGGCAGCTGTGACCAATTGAAGTTACGAAATCAATTATTGTGCCTTGTGGCTGATATCTTTATTTGGCTCAGGTACCGGATCGTGCCGTTCATCTATCTGTCCTACATTGGCAATCGAGCACACTTTCAGAACTTTTTCTAGGACCAAATACCAGGTATTTTAACACGAACTGAACAACTGCCGTATGTCCCACAGCAACGGTGTTGTGGAGAAATCTGGGGAAGACTTCGGGGATAGAATCTGCAGCTGCAAGAAAAAAACAACACAACCAACACCACGCGACCTAATTCGCGGGGCGTAATATTTCCGAACCTTCCATAGGAATGAGATTTATCGGAGCAAGATAACAAGCCGAGAGTAGCATGTGAATCCACTTACTTCTTTCGCTTCTACAGAACACGGTAATGGCAGCTTGGGGACCGCGTGGGGCTACATTCTAACAGCCACTATTGCGAATTAGGTTATGTGTCCGCGCCCGGCGGCCAACCAATGATATGAAAACTAATTTCTTGGCAAGGCTGGATTGTAGATTTGGTCAGGATAGCATCAAAGAGATGCAAGTGAACGAGAATGGAACTCGTTTGATCATAAAGAACAGCATTTATCCAGAAATCAGTTAATCAGGTAGAGGAAAAATCCGGAAAGCCCACATTTAAGCAGCTTACAAATGTACCGCGGAGTGACTCTCACATGTAATACCGGTAGTTGTTTAGCAAGTCGAAGGGCAGCAACGAACTGTATGTACGCTTCTACTGACAATGAATTCATCGAATGGCTCCCAGGGAAATTGGCACCCGGGAAGTTCTTCTCTATCCCTTTCTCATTTCTATGTGATAAGAATCAAATCCATCAAATCCACTTTATCGCTTGAAGAACAAAGGCCTGTGGGGCGTGGAAATTCTGCTGGGCGTGAGGACCACAGGATGGCCCTCCCATTATCTCAACAACGGAATTTTGCGAGATTGAAAGTATCCTGTCGTCCCAACAAGTAAATTACAATAATGCAATTTCTCTGTGCGCCGTAGAATACCGATATCATATCGGTCCCGGCCTACTCAATTTCCTCAATTCTCGGTTTCGTAACATTTGCATTCCTACTGACTGGGGTAATATTCAAACCAGCCAAGTTCTCGATCCCGCGGGCACTCAAATTCTCGATACCACCACCACCTGCTAAATTTCCAACCGGGATTAGTGAGTTCATCTGCCATGACTCGATCCCCTTGACGACATCCTTTGCATGCTGCCTAACCAGGCCATCATTATCCGTACCCTGAACATATCTCAATATTCTTGTCATGTCATCCAGACTCTGGCCTACGAATCCAAATCCTAACTGTCTACCTTCAGATCTTGCCTTGTCCAATGCGCGTACAAAACTCATAACGAGAAGAATGGCAGATCTACGAAGAATACCCTTCTCAACCTCCGGCTCCAATGTGAGTATATGAATGCTGAGATCAACAGACATAGAGATTGGATTATGTCCGATTCCTGATACATTGCATTCTATGGCCTCACCGAGAATCGCCAAAGCAGACGAGCGTATCCGTATATCTTCCGTTCCGCGCTTGCTTTCCCAGCCTGAAACTATTTGAGAAAGTAATTCGTATTCGGGATGGTTGGCATCCGGTTCGAGAATTTCGTCCAATTGTGGCACTGGGCCATCCCATGCCTCTTCTGCTTCAGCTGTCTTCTGTTTCTTAAGTTTATCGCGTTTGATTTGTTCAGCCTCGCTTTTAGGTCGATGGCCTCTCCGGCCAGCAATTGAAAGCAGGCCTTCACTGACGGTTTGTGCAATACCACCTGTAAAGTTTGTCGGCGAGGATTGAATGACTTGGAGTAAGGCTTCCCCAAGTCTCAAACGGGCGTCGAGATCATAATCCTCATTGCCATCTGCATAACGTTCGATAAGATCTTTTAATACAGCCCTAGGGTGAATCTTGGAAAGGTCGATGAAGCACCTGATGGCACGAAGATAAACGTATTCTTCAGAATCTTGAAGTAGTGATGCGAAGAGAATGAGAAGCGCAGGTATGTCCAAGATTGAACTACGGGCGCTAATAAGACTCTGGATCAACTCAATTCCCTGAACTCTTACTGGAGGAGGAGATTCAACAGAGGTTAGATATGACATAGCAAGATTATAGATCTTTCGGTCTTCTACTGCCCGACTAGGAATATTTTCGGATAGTGACTCGCTTGGCTCATTAAGTGCATGGCGAAACTGTAGAATGACGAGAAGATTTTGTGCGGTTTGGGTTACTTCTGTAACTGTTCGGCGCCCATAAATTCGGAGAGAAGATTCGATTCTTTCTAGGAAAGGCTCTATTATAGGGGTTGGCCTAAAGTTTGGCGATGTAAGAATAATGTTTAATAAACTTAAAGCAATAGAGACAATTCCCTCCTGATCTTCGGAATCTAAATCTTCGCCGCCAATTGCGTCGGTCAGCACCCCATCAATCAATTCCACTATCTGCTTAGAATCTCGAACGAGCTTCTCTGGCATCACGTTAATCATTTCTTGTAACAACTTTGCTTCGATGAGCTTTAGCTTTGCATCTTCTCCGCCACTGATCAATGAAGATTGAATTAAAATAGACGGAGTTGTGGAAGTCCTTGCTTGTGAGAGCCATTTCTGACATAGCATTAAGAACATTTGAGGCACCTGTGAGTCAGAGTCGGGAAACTCATTCAACAGGACAATAAACTTTTCTACTGCTGTATTGATTTGGCCGATATCAAGTTGTTGTTGATTCATCTTGTTAGTTTCTGAAATTTTCTCAATCTGAATGTCCTTACCGTCCTTTGATGAACGGTATATCCAACTCGTCTTACCAGGCTCTGATCTTCCTTGAAACAGGATATCATTAGAGATCTTGGAAAGTGCGCCTTCACTAGGTTTAGACGTCGTTGACGCTAAAAGCTGTAGCAGAATCTTCAACAGCTTTCCTGCACAAGCACTAGATTCCGTACCATTGTCTTTGTTTTCGACGCAAAATAAAGCCCACAGTGGCAAGAGAATTGGATTAAGAAGTCGTTTCGTCAGTGATGGGTGGGGATGTGATGTTACTATAGTAAGCAATCTTCGTAGACTTTTCCTGAGATCCTCCGCTGTGACAAGAACTTCTGGCATTCCAAGTACTACTATCTCTTCAACTTGTGATTTTTCTTTTGTGGGTGGAGGAATAAGGGCTGGGTCAATTGATCCAATAATTGGCTCGACCAGAGATTTCCATCCCGGTGCACCTGAACCATTTAGCATACGTTGAGACAAACAAGTCATTCACCTTACCTGGGGCCCCATAAAGCTTTCGACCTAATATACCAAATCCAATTATGTAGGAAGCAGCTTTATCCATTTCTCTCTCTCCTTTCCCATCGAGAAGATCAAATAATTGAGGAGCAATACCACTGAACCATTCCTCTGCTGACATTCCCTGTGGGGGTGAAGATAAGAGTCTTGATGCCGAGCTCATGGCTTCATGAGAAATATTCACGGAACGACTACCAACAGAATCCGATGCCTTCATACTAGCATTGCTCGGATGAATTGAGAAGACAAATTCAATGGTGTCTTGTACGCCGCGTGGTCTCAGGGGAAGACGGGCTAAAGTTTGAATTAAAGGCACTCGTAACCAAGTTTGTACTCGTTCTGGTTGAACAAGAAGATTTAAAACGGGCATAAGTTTCAAAGTAGAATTACTATTGAATAATTAGAACTTCCGTTGAGAAAGATTGAAGACCTTCTACCTTTCAATCAAGTTGTTAAATTCATGTTGCGACTGAATTCTTGTGGTTTCCGGAACCTCTGGATCAAAAGCTGCCTTTCCGATCTGTAGAAATTGATCAACCAAAGGTGGTTGTGCAGTCCTATTGTTATATTTCTCTGACATGATTATAGCACAATGGGCAGTTGATTACTCGCAAGTAAATGTACCAGAATTCATTTGGTGGATGCCGTTGATGAAAAGAAGAATCTCAGATCCAGTGATTTCGATTTTTGGCGATGCAGTTGTGGCTGATGTAACCTTATTGTGGCAAAAGTGGCGTAATCCTATATTGACCGTCCCCGCCACTGGTTCACCTGATCTTATCCTCCGACAAAGATTCTGTGTGTCTTTTCAATGTCTCGAGACAAGTTTTACAATCAAAATACTTTTCAAACTCCGAGCGTACTTTTGGTTATCAAACGCCCTCTTTTGCATTGTTTGGTGGTGCTCAAAGTATCGTGAGTAGTATGAGAGTTGTGAGTAGCATTCACAGAAGATGGGACATCTCTGTATTGATATCTGACATCCGAGGGCAATAAAGTAATAAAATGTCTGTAGACTTTCCAATCTGCCCCTCATCAAATCTCTGCAAGTTACTGATTACTTACATCTCTTTCATCGTTCAATTCCATTAAAGCGTAGAGTTCTCCTTTGTTTACCATCTAATTGTTGCATTGAAGTACACATATTTTTCATTTTTCAACGGTAGCAACCAATTGTTAAATTAACTATCTTTTTTCATTCATTGATACGCTTTGATATAATAACAATCGCTACCTAGCTGTGGCTACACCGTTTCTCTAGGATGTCAACACATTATCTCGTGATGTTTTGAGCCGTCTTTCCAGCCCTTTTCAACGCATCTGTCGGATGACTGTTCATCATGCCATCTTTCTCGGTCTCTATTCTCCAGTGATCGCTGCCTGCTGGTGTTTCCTGACCAAGTCAACCTTAACATTTCCGTATCTCAGCATTTCATATTTCGCCAAATGCTCTATGACCAAGGCCATATCTTTTGACAATGTCTTATGGGTGGTGGTGGGATCATCCTTAGTAACTATTTGTTCTTCCTCCTCAATCTGAGACATAATGCTCTGAGTTTCCGAAAACGATTTGCTTTGTGGTGGAATATCTCCCACAACTATCGTCAGCTCCTCTATTCCAGCAAGCAATGGCTTCTCCTGCACATGTTCTATTTCGACACAATCATTCTTCTCATACCAGCCCTCAAAGAGTTGTTTGCTCAACAAATAATGCCCAATACAAAATATGTCGATGGCGACTTTCCTCACTCTTTCAAGGCTAACCATACTGGACCTCATATTCTGCAAAGCTCTCATGGTTCCATAGTCCGTCTTAAAGTATATTTTGTCTTGATCTCTCAAGAACTTAATTCCTCTTCTGAAATTGGCACCCAACCTTTCCTCAACAACTTTCCTGTCCACGTATATTGGATCCTCCATCCCATCGTCTCCTATGTACTCTTCGATGAAGTTAAGATCCTTCGGGTGCTTGTCGTGAAGACAGTAATCCCAGACGCTTTCCACGACGTCTCTGCTTTCACGGGATACCATTTCGATCGTGCATTGACTTCGCGGATTAACTTCGGTCCATCTCAGAACAGAGGATCCTGTTGGCTCAGGGAAGATCGTTTTTTCGCAGTCTAAGTTCCAGTGCAGACTTTCTACGATTTCGGCACGAACTTCGATTACGCGAGGGGTTTGAGTTTCGAGGAAAGCGTGACGCCAGATTATGCTGCGAATATGGTCAGGAAGATGGGAAAATTTGAGGAAAGTGTTTTGACTTTCAGGCAGAAGAGATCGTTCTGGAGTTCGTGTGGCATGTAAAGATGAAAAGGGTGGGATGAGTGAGAGAATAGAATGTTCATCTGACTCGGACAAGGTTTGGGTTAAGGATGCCATCTTTGTTGTATGGATAAACGTAATGGATTATGATGGGATTTTAATGATTTGTTGTTTAAGTGAATGTAATAAAACAACAAGACAGGTTGTCTTGCAAAGAAAAGAAACAATAAATTTGACTTGTGTAGTTCCTGCCCTGACACACTCTAGAAAAGAAAGCGGCACACACAATTATTCAAATCGTATGTATAGATAGATACTCGAAACCACCTTTTCGACATATAATTTGATTGACAATAATGGCTTGAATGTGATGAATAAAGCAAATTTCGACCTTTGACTCTTTATTTTCAAGGTAAGTAAACGAAGGAAAGTAGAGAATGATCGAACAAGCCATGAACAACTGAAGGGAAGCAAAGATGTAAACTTCATTCATCACAATTTAAGTCTCTAGGGCTGTTGGATGACAGGGAGGTAAATGCCAGCACTGTAGTGGGATTCTGCTGGTCAAATTAGGCTATGCCACACGCTACAGGGTATTGAATCACCCTCTAACCCTCCAACCCCTCTACCCCCTCCAAAATCCAACAAGTTGAGCGTTTAACCTTCAAAGTTTTGATTACACCTTGTAATCCCAAGTTAGGATTATACCAAGATCAGAGATGCCACATAGATTCTTACCGAGGTCAAACACCATCGAAATGCTGAGCCTCCAAAAGCGGATGTTCTAGGCGGTCCGATGATTTTGCCGGGCGGCTGCCCATCTGGATAGGATGCAAACCCCGGATCAGAACCACTTCACCAACAACATCCCAGATCAAACATTGAATGATTGTGGTACAAAATATGAAAAAATTGTTTCAAAAATCCTGTTATTGCGTAAGTAAAATAAGATAACCTTATCCGCTCGTAAAACCTTCATGTACAACATATATTCCTGCTAATCATTTGCCGCGATTCCTTCGGTCCTAATTCAAGGCATATCCGCCCACCAGGCTTTGTGTGTTCCCATGCTGATAACCAAATTTCCCGAGACTCAAGTATTGCAAACCTTTTTCATAACCAATTGATAATGCCGAAAACTTAGGTTCCAGTAAGGATAAATTTAGACATCCGCAGACTATCAGGTAGGTGTAGCTTTTATCAGTTCATCCACTATTTTATAGCACTCCTCTGGACTCTCGAACACTCTCCAGACATCCTTTGATACACCGTCAAACGCTTTCTCAAATCGTTCGGGCTCGTTTTTCTGGACAATACCGATGGAGGCTATGTCCGTTACTTTGCGTATGAGTACTAATTTGACCCAGCCTGGGTTTTTGCGACATCTTAGTGGTTCGTTAGCAAGGTGAAAGACCAATTTGCGAGGAAACTAAATTTCATGATTGGACGAGAAGGGACATCGAAAGTTAGTCAAACGAGAACTCACATCTCCCCATAAGCCTCTGGGTCACTCTGCGTGCTATCGCCCACAAAAATCATCTTCCTCTTCGGCAACCATTTATGAATCTTTTCCATCTCATTGATCTTGTACTCTTGTGTGCCCTCTGTCAATGTCTCTAACAATCCAGATAAACTCAAGAAGTTGGCATCCCTCAGTATCATAGTTCCTTGAGGATAATATGCCCGACGGAATTCGCTGAGAAATGAGTAGAGAGTGTAGGGCGAGGCAGATAGATAGAACCAAGGAGCTACAGATGCGTGTTTAGGTGTAATGATGGACTGTATGTGTTTGTATAGTTCTGGCATTCCTTCCACGGGCATCGGTTCAGATAAGAAGGTAGAGCGTAAAATGTCAATTGGAGAACTTGTTTGGGTTATTTTTATTGAGTCGTCAATATCTGTACAAAGTTATTAGAGGCCCTTTGGGATCCCCTCATCGTCCAGGATATTGAGTTGATCTGGAATTCTCAAACTCACCAGAAATGACTGCCCATCCTTCAGGTTCGGCATAGACTGTTTTCATTTGCAATATTCCTTCAACTTCTAGAGGCACTTTTGCATTCCATTTCACGATTTCGCCGTCTTTGCCATCCCGCAATGTCCGGATATCACTGCTAATACCATTTCGACCACACGGTCCAAGTTTTAAATTTGCGACCCCTTGATGACCTGAAGACGCAATATTGACAACCCTTCCAGCTCGTACATCCATCAAGAATGGTCTCAATCTTTCTTCCACAATTTCATCTTCCCCTCTATCCCCGTCACCCCCAATTCTTCCCACGATATCCCCAATGATTTCTGGTACATGTCTTGCACTTTCCGTCTCCCATACTGCAGCTACAAATTCTGCTTCCCATTTCCCGGTTACGTGGTTTCTATATGCCGTATTATCCAATAACCAAACTGTATCGTCCTTGGTTACTGCTTTGGGAAATGGATTACGTGGCCCAAGATACGAGAGAAGGTTGTCGATGAGTGAGTTCGTGGATGCGCGAGGGAGATTTGGAAGGCTTGATTCGGTTTCGGGGAAGTGGTTGCTGTTGCGAGCTTGGACTTGGAGGGACGTTGTGCTTCGACGGGAGATCGTCATCATGGCGTTAGTGGGTTTAGCTCTAGTTTGATTCTCTTTGTCGTTATCAATGTGATGCTACGCGCTTGGTTGTTGCTATCGCTTGAATTTTTAATGAGCAAAATATCATCGAAATGACAGATAGCAGAAACGTTCGAATCCACAAGGAAAATGCGAGTGAATATGAGAAAAATAGATCAAAAAATAAAGGAACCCATGAAAGCAGTATAGGGCTGGTATTTAACCCACAGCTCTGCCTTATTGTGCCCCGTCATTCTTATTTACGCCTTGAGGCTGATGATCACCCGCTTCCTACTTGACGAAATTGTCTTTAGTTTCTGGGGCATAACGTTAAAATTAGCGCTGCGCCCAGCACCCTGAATCTGTGCAGCCATGAAACTATGAGGGAGGCTGATGTAATATGAGGTGTGATGAGGTCAGGGGACATTGATGAAATGTCAGGCACGCGATGAATTGATTCGACCATTTGGTGATACGGATATATCTTGGCTGATGGTGGCGTTCGGTATGACTGTACCAGTTCTTAGGTGACAGTGGTAGCAGGTAGGGCTATGAGTAAGGGGATTTCTTGTACTCTGGGCACTTCGTATTTCACCGAATGTGTGGTTGATGATGGTTGATGATCGACGTTATTCACAATAGTTTGTGTTCAGCTTATTACTCTAAGCCCGGAAGTGGTGGGGCATTTTTGCGCAATGGTGCTGGTGATGAAGGGGTTGCCTATAATTACCGAATTTATCAATGTCTAACGACAATATAAATCCATCTGCACACTTTCTTCGAGACAGCATTTTATTTCAAGATGGGAATGTGATTGTTATATTAACCTTGAGATCGAAGCAAAAATTTAGTTACATTTGTTATTGCTACTGGAGTTTTGCGGCGCAACCATCATCTAGAGGTGACCTGATGTCGTTCATACTGAAGCACGGAATCATAGTCTTGCGGAGTACATTTACCTAATATCAGTTACTGCTATACTGAGCACATGATATTGCATATCAAAATTCAAAGAATGAATCGCAATATTTACGTCATCGCTACAAACATTGGCAGCTGTCCACGATGAAATGCAACCACTCACATTTTAATAAGTGATAATCCCGTGGTTTCGTGAATTTTTGTTGCACGTCTGGCACCAATCCTTGCAGCGTTTTGATCAGCTGGGCAGCTTGGACAATCAACCCCGGGGTCACTTCCAAGCTCAACGCACACTTGCCATATAATAATTAGTAAAAGGTAAAGATGTTACAAAATTCATGTAGGTAAAATTTAATGTTTAAATCTTATTGATCGACTACCCAAAATAAATCACATTCCAAACGAAAGACATATTAATATGTTGAATTAAGACTTGACGACAAATTGCTCATATTTCCTTCAATTTACCAAAAGACGCCATGCCGTGTAAACACATTATCTAGAAATGCAAATCGCTCAGAATTACACCATGGAAACCCCATCCGGATTCATTCATGGAGCCATAAGTGCAGGCGGATAATCAGAAGGATCCGTCAAATATCCCTCGAGTGCTTGAATTCCCGGCGAAAAGAAATATTCACCGCCCCTTTGAACCACCCATCTATCTAGTTGAACACGTGCTTCTGTAGGATCTTTACCATCTGGAAGACCGATGGAGCGAGGTGGATGGTGATCGAGTCGCTGGCCTACAATAGCATCGATTCCTGGACCATGCTCACCAACGAATTTGTCCTTGCGGTCTGGGAAGTGGTGATTGCTTGCCCAGCGAGTAGTCAAGAAATTGAAACCATTTCGAATGTCGCTTTGGTAACACACAAAAAGAAGCCCACGTTCTTTCTCATCATCGGATTTCTGTGCAGCTTTCTCTTCGGGTGTGACTTCGCCTCCATAAGAAATGCCCCGGCGTATGATGACGGCGTGGTCGTGATCCAAGTCTCCACGAGGTCGCATTTTCCGGATGTGCGCTGCAAAAGGACATTTGGCGTGTTCTTGAACGGGATGGAAGTCAAAATTGTTCGATTTGAAAAGTTTTTCATCTTTGGCATCGTGAGGACTCTCATCCACAGGTGTTCCTAATGAACGAGTCAGCATTGAGTTACATTTTGGTATGTTAAGACTCAAAAACATACCATTTTTCCATCGACCCATCAGGTATGCAGCAAGCTTCTCCTTGGGATCTTCAGAGTTTGCGGCATCCGGTGCATTGTGTTTGTTATCTTCTAACCATCTGATGATGTATGAGATTAGTTCACGAGAATATAAAACGAAGCACAGTAACCCACTTATCAAATTCAGGGACAAGCTGTTGGAGATCCCGAAAAACGAGGAAGCTCCCATCTTCCGCCCAATCTGGCTGCTTCATATCATCACCCTCGTGCCTTGCAAAAATCAATCTAAGAAATGAAACAATCTTGAGTCAGTTGAGATGATCGAGATCAATTGATAACAAGAGAATCTTACCCTGATTTTACGGACTTGGGCTCTTTATCCTTGGGTGTCACCTCATCTAAGCCTTCTATCAAGGGCTGACTGATTCCATCCT